TGGGAAAGCTATAATTAAGCATTGGAATTGGATTGTTTAGCGTTTATTGATGTTATTAAGCCGATTATGTCTAGTACAATTGATTTGTCCAAATTCAAAAGGAAAAGCGGTGTTTGAGGCTTGAGTTGGTCGTGGAAGTTCGAGGCAAGTGTTCGGTCTAACCTTAGCTTGAGGGATTAGGAGTCGTGTCCTATTTGCTATTTGTTTCTTGTTGAGTACGAAGTATAGGCATCGTGACGAGTATCTATACGTTGGTGCCGAGCATGACCGTGAGTCTTAAATGGCAATTTATTGTGTGCTTAAATGATACTACGGATGCTTAATTGATGATTCTTGGTATTGACCAAGGATTTAGATTGTTCTCATGGAAATTACTTTTGATTGAGTATTGGTGTTAGCTGAGGTAGCTAGATGTAGCTAGATGTTGGAACAAGATTGGTTATAGTGTTTCTCCCTTACCGGGACGTATTTACTTATACCGTCGATTCCTTTGCCGGGATAGTGTAGTTCTTTATTGATCCCTTGCCGGGATCTTGTTATGATTATTGTTGATTGTATATTTGGATCGGATTGCGCGCCGCAACATTGTTATATTTGGATCGGGTTGCACGCCACAACAATAATATAAATGGATCGGGTTGCACGTCGCAACAATAATATGAATGGACTGGGTTGCACGCCGCAACAATGATATAAATGGATCGGGTTGCACGCCGCAACAATGATACAGTTGGATCGTGTTGCACGCCGCAACAGTGATAAATGATAGGGATCGGGTTGCGCGCCGCAACAGTGTTATGATTGATTGTTGTAGATCTTAAATTGTTCTCTTATATTTCTCTTAAATTACTGTTGGACTTGATATTTTCCCTGCAGCATGTACCCCCTCCCATCTTTATTTGTTTATTTCTGTTTTATTTTCCGCTGCATATTATATAACTGCATAGGTTTATCTGGAGTCTGGTCCTAGCCTCGTCACTACTTCGCCGGGGTTAGGCCAGGCACTTACCAGCTTGAGCTGTCAATATGGCGGGGCCGGGCTAGCCCAGCCCAGCCCACGTGGGATTTAGCAATTGACGGGCTGGGCTAGGCTAGCCCACTATTTTGATGGGTCCTTATAATGATCCGCCCACCCCAGCCTTATGTGGGCTGCGATCCCCCACGAGTCGGCCCATTATTTTTTAAAATATAATTTTATATTTTTCTTTAAGTTCTAACTTAAAAAAGATAAATATTTAAAAGCTAAAAAAATCTTATTGGAAAAATTTCAAAAAACTTAATACTTATATTGTTCCAATATATCACAATAAACACTAAAAAAGTGAAAGACAAGACTATATTTCATTCACTAAAAGTCAAAGCTCAAAACAAACTATTCAAGAGAATGTCCATGACGCTTATGGGATATCCGACACATCATCTTCATCAATCACATTTGAATCCGCTTGTGAGAAGGTTGTCTTAACATCTTCACTTTCACTTACATCTACAATTTGTATAAAATATTAGTTAGTTAAATATTAAAAATAATTAAATTTTTAAAGCTAATTAACCTTTTAAGACTTTGATCTTTTAATATGATGAGTTTAATAAACTTTAAGCGTGGAATACTCTTCGTGATATTTTTATGTCATATAATTTTAATTTTATATTTTATATATTTTAAATACATATTTTTACTAGGCCCACGGGCCGGCCCAGCCCAGCCTCAGTCAAGCCTCACGGGCCATGGGCTTTTTCGGGTTGGGATTAAAAGCCTCGTTCATAAATGGGCTCCAATAATTATAGCCCAGCCCTGCTAAATCACGGGTTGGGCTGGGCTGGCCCAACGAGCCAAGCCCATATTGACGGCTCTATTACGAGCACATGGGGTCGGTTGTGCTGATGCTACACTCTACACTATGTGCAGATCCCGGAGCAGCTTTTGGACAGTAGCACTTGGGGAGGCTGCCTTCAGTCCAGTTAGAGATCCCGAGGTAGTCCTGCAGGCGTCCGCAGGCCTGGTGTTCTCTTCTATCTTATTTTGTATTCTGTTTTCAGTTATTTCGAGACATATTGTACTTTCTTTTCAGACATTCGCTTGTAGCATTCATAGACAGTTCGTGATATTGTGACACCAGATTCCGAGTAGAGGCGTATGTTGGCAGTGTCGTACTGGTTTTAGTTATTCTATCAGATTAAGTCTTCCGCTTGATTTTCATTATCGATAATATTTCAATGTTGATTACCTGTTAATTTAAATTGTTAAAAGGGTTAAAATAGAAGAGTTAGTGATTTTATATATTTTGCGGCTTGCCTAGCTTCTACGAGTAGGCGCCATCATGACTCCCGAGGGTGGGAAATCCGGGTCGTGACATTTTTTGACAAACACTGATTTAATTTCCTGCTTGGTCAAATCATTGCCCTTTACACCAGTTGTAAATGCAATTACGTGATCCCATGGATCAGTTGTTCCATCGTATTTCGAAATATCGGACATCTTGAATTTCTTTGGAATTGGTAAAGGAGCGGCACTTGTCTTCCAAGGTTGTTGAGAGTATTTGTCCATATCTATTCCTTTGATTACGGGTGACACTCTAGGTATCTGCTCTATGCGATCGCTCTGCTCCTTGAGCTGCTTCTGCAAAGTTAGTATTAAACTTTGTAAATCAGAATTAACTGGGTTACCTGACCCTCCATCACGAGATTCGCTGGGAGTTCCTCCACTGCCTGAGTTAACGAGTCCTGAGCGAGAATTTTCCATGGTATTGTTGTTTGGAGTTGGTGTTGGTGGTACAACCGGCAACTGATTAGCAAAAGCCTGAAGAGCACTACTAACCTGTTGAGTGATTAATTTTTTCAAAGCTTCATCAATAGCTTGATCATTCTCAAACTGCTCGTTCATATTTGAATTAGATCCGTCAGGAGTCCCTTCTCGGGATTGTCGAGGAGAGTTTCGTTGTGAAGGAACTGGAGTTCCATCGCCCTGTTGATTCTCCTAACGTTGATAATTTTCTTGGTGCTATAAATTTTGTTGGTTGTTGTCATTGACATACAACATGATTTTTTTGACAAAAGAGTCAATTTTAGAAAGTAAAAGATTATCAGATTTCCGATAATGGAACCAAGTTGTTTAACCAGAAAATAGGAATTTTGATCAAAGCGTAATTTTAGAAGAACTCGGTTTACTGATAATCAAATAAAGAAAAATTATTTAATGAAAAAGAAAAATTGAATTGAGAAGTAGCCGGATAAGCAAAATAAAGCAATGTAAATCAGTATATTCCAATAATAATCAGTGTCCCATACAAAATGTTATTTCTCTCCCTTTATAGCTATTTCTAAGTACTACATTTCTTTCTTCTCATGATAAAGCCATTATGAGCAATTAATGACATTAGTGAAATGTTATAATTGACAATCGTAACTGTTTCGTGAATATTCTATATTGTTCCCCATTATTTATGCTCATTAATTGCAGATAATACGTATCTGTACTTTTTTACTATCTTGGTTCATTCTACCGATGTCTCTTCAGATTATCAAGAGGTCCGAGTAACCGTTCCTTCTTGTTTTCTTGAATCTTTGCCCGTACCTATTTAGGCACATGTCTCTTTGTGTACTCTTTGCCATCTGTCACTCTTTTATTGATCCACATGTCTTGACATGTCAGCCACATAATTAATTCCAAATGTTAACTTGATTTTCTCCAATACAATGAAATCATAAAAATGTCTAGTGATGCTGTTAAAGTTTGAAGAATTTGAGGTTTTTACAAAGAGACAAAATAAAAAACTTTCAAAGAGGATAATTTTTTGTTTTGGTAAAGTTGACTTTTAACTGATGTTCTCATGATTTAAGTCATTGGTATATCCAATTAATAGAGAACGATTTTTTTTGTGTGTGTATATAAACAAGAGAATTAGAAGAAAAATGAAGAAAGGCAAAAAGTGCCGGAAAAGGTTGCCGGAACTTTAAGTGGTGGAGAAGGGATAGGAAGATTTATTTTTATTTAAGAAAATATTATAAAAACAATTTTAACATTCTTTTTGTTTGTCACTCTTTTTGAGAGGGTGAACGTGAAATACGATCTCTATTTCATTCCCTGCCAAATCAGCATTTCATGTCGAACTAATTATACTCTGAAATAGTTTGGGGTCATAGGATAATTATTTACATTCAGTTTATTCTTGCAGCTTTATAAGTAAATATTACAGATTAAAATATGCTCTTTTTTATTGGAACGTTGCAGTAATCATTCAAACTGAGTGGGTGTTTGGACATAAGAATTGTAAAATTTTAAAAAGAAAGTGAATTTTTTTTTCAAGTGAAAATGGTATTTGAAAATTAGATTTGTGTTTAGAAATGAATATAATTTTGGGTTATTTTTGAATTTTTGTGAGTGATCTGAGTGAGAATTTTGAAAAACAACTTTTGGGAGTTCTTCAAATTTTCAAAAATTCCAAAATCCATCTTCAAATGAAAATTGAAAATTTTATGGCCAATGATTTAAAAAAAAAAAAAGTGAAAAGATTCTCATGTTGATTCTAACTCCTCGAAATTAGAGTAATACTGAGGCTGAGTTTTATTCCTACAAGATTAAACATAAAATTGATAAAACTATAAAACGAATAAAAGAAAGGCAGAAAGAATAGGGCGCCTTCAGTCCTTTGTGACCCTAACTGTATGAATTCGACATAGTTTTATGAGCAGGGGCAGATCTACTAAGATCCGTGGGATGGTACGCCACCCGCAAGGTTTTGGTGGGAAGCTTATCTTTTTGAGGATATAAGATATTTATTTCAATAGAGATAAAATATTACATAGTACTAGCAGAAACATCTGCGAAAATAGAGCAAGCCTCGAGGACATTTATATTTCCCATTTCGGCTAAATTTAAACAGACAATATAGCTAAGTTTTTTGATTAAGTACACACAGCCATTCTTATCCATTGCTAGGTTATTTAATACTAGGGGCAATGGATTAACAAAAACTTGTTTTTTCCTTGCATGCTTGAGTCCATCCTTGGCCAATTTATGGGCCACCTTGTTTCCTTCTCGGAAGTTATGGATGATCATCGGGTGCCTCAGCTGGTGCATTAACCACCTGCAATCAGTAATAATAGTTGTATAAGACATAGTATTTGATTGAAAAGCTTTAATGAGGTCTGTTGCGTCAGTTTCCACTATTAGTGGTGAGAGACCATGATGGAGGGCTATCAAGAGTCCAAATTTTAAGGCTTCTAATTCAGATTGTAGCGGGGATGAAGAAGGTTTTGAATGTTGGAATCCCAGCATCCACTCTCCTCTATGATTTCTAAAAACACCTCCCAAACCTCCCATGTTTGAATTGTCGTTGAAAGCACCATCGATGTTTAGTTTTATGAAATTGTGAGGAGGTTTGTTCCAGGTAACCTTAATAGCGACAGATTGTGTTATTGTAGTTTCCTTAGTAGTGAGATAATAATATTCTAGGGCCAGAGAAATTGCATGAGAGTGATTGTATTTCAGGGACAAGTTGTTATGATTATTGTTGTTCCTATTTGACCAAATAGTCCAAATAACAAAGGGAAATAAGTTTTCCCAAGATAAGATGGTGGGGGATGAAGTAGTACTGATGTTCCTAATCAGGTGTATCCAATCCCTAGTGTTTTTAACCTGGAAAAAGTAAATTCCTAACGATGATCAGAAATAGCTAACTGAGTCACACTTCAAGAAAATGTGCTCAATTGTCTCTTCCCCTTTTTTGAAAACCGGGCAAATAGGGTCAATGTTTATGCCTATGTGGTGAAGATACTGACGAGTAGGGAGCCTATTGTGAAGGCACTTCCACATGAGAAACTTAGTTTTGTTGGGACATTTTGAACTCCTAACCCAATCAAAAGAACTAGGATTATTTAAGCTATGGTTAAAAAAACTGTAGCAGGATTTGGTGGTAAAAATACCATTTGAATTTAATTTCCAGTAGTAAGAGTCATGGTTTGTTTTATGAGGCTCAAGTGAACAGATGGCATTTTGGATATGAGGGGGCAATTCAAACAGAATTTTTGAGAAATCCCACTTGTTACCTAGCCGCAGGTCCTTTATACCAAGATTAATAGAGGATAATGGGAGGGGTCCCTCTATGATATTCCTAAGGGTAGTGACGTTAGGAATCCAGTTGGAATCCCAAATATTCATGAAAGAATTTTGATGAGGGATCCATTTTAGCCCTTTGTTACAAATTTCCCAACCCTTGACAATACTCTTCCAAATGAAAGAAGTGTGTTTATGATTTTTTGAAGTGTCATAGAGAGATGAGAGAGTTTGAGACCAAGGAAGAAGAGGATTGTGAAGGATTCTCCATGATAGACTTGCTAGGGCAACTAGGTTTTTGTCTTTTGCCGCATGGATTCCAATACCGCCATTCTTTTTATCTTTTGTCAATGTATCCCAAGAAAGAAGGTGTATTTTTTGAGGTGGTCGTGGAGCCCCAAATAAATCTTTTTTGAATTTTGTCAATGCTTTTTAGTATCTTGATAGGCAAGAAATTATATTGCATGACATGATTTGGTATACTATTAGGAGAAGCATTTGCTAAGATGGTCCGGCCAGCCATATTAATGAATTTGGGCTTCCACGAGGACAATTTAGTATTCATTTTGTCAATGATGAATTGGTAGTCGGAGGGCCTAGGTTTTGTGTTTGTTATAGAAAACCCTAGGTATTTACCAAAAGAATTGCTACATTTTATGTTGAAAACTTGGATAGCTCCTTTTTGGTACTAGTTGGACAATTTTTTGAAACAATAATTTTGGACTTATCTTTATTGATCTTTTGGCCTGATAGGGTGCAGAAAGACTCTAGGCAACTAAGAATTATTTTTGGGGATTTATTATCAATTTTGCACATTAGGGTAAGGTCATCTGCATAAAAAAGATGTGACAATTTATAATTCTTTTTACCTAGACTAACAGGGGACCAGTTACCAATATCAACCTGATGGTTTATGTTAATAGAAAACATTTCTAGGCAGAGAATAAAAATATAGGGGGAAATGGGGTCCCCTTGTCTAATTCCCCTACTTGGGGAGAAGAAATGGCTTCTACTCCCATTAACTAAAACAGCTATATTGCTTGTAGTGATACATTCCATGATAAGGGAAGTAATTTTTGGAGGAAACTTGAAATGGCAAAGGGTTCTGTTGATGAAAGACCATTCGAGCCGGTCGAAAGCCTTCTCAAGGTCAATTTTCAATACAAGAGAAGCTTTCCCATGTTTTTGTTTATGCATTTTAGAAATAAGCTCTTGGATAATAATAGCATTGTCGCTAGTACGCCTACCTTTTAGAAAACTGGATTGATAGGGACTTTATTTTTTGTAAGAAAGGCTTGAGCCTATTTGCAAGGGTTTTTGTGATAACTTTGTAAATGGTGTTACATAAACCAATTGGCCTATAGTTTTTTAGAGAGATAGCATTTGGAATTTTAGGGATTAGACAGGTAAGTATCATTTATCCCATGTGGAAGCTTGCCTGTTTCAAAAGTAAGTTGACAAAGGTGGGTCACTGAAGTGTTAACAGAATCCCAGAACCTTTGAAAGAAATAAGGATGTAGACCATCTGGTCCAGGTGATTTAAAGGGTTTAAAACTAAAGACTGCATTTTTAAGTTCTGATTGGGATAAGGGTTTGTCTAAAATAGTAAGGTTAAGGTCAATGAAACTGGTGGACTCTTTCTTATTAGTAGACCAATAAGAAAATTTGTGATTTGTGATGAACGAGTTGTTAAAAAAGCTATAGACATGGTTCATAATGCCCCGAGGATCATCAATCCAGTTTCCATTTGAGTCTTTGAAGTACATAATTTTATTAATTCTTCTATTATTAGTAGCACAAATGTGAAAGAATTTTGAATTTGAGTCGCCTTCATTAAGCCAGTTAATCCTGGAGCGAAGTTTCCAGTAGTCTTCTTCTATTTTAAGGAGATTGTTATACTCAATTTTTAGAGTGAGTTCTAAATTGTTAAGGAAGTTGCCATGACCATAAGAGGCCGACTTTTGAATACCATTTAATCTAGCTATTAGGGTCCTTTTTTTTCTAAACAGGTCTCCAAAAGTAGCATTCTTCCATTCCACTATACAATATTTGAACAAGTTAGAGGCTTGAATGAAATCCCTATTGTTCCAGCAAGAGCTAACAATATTTTTGAATTGAGGATGTCTGCACCAGTAAATCTCCATTCTAAATGGCTTAGGGAGTGGGTTTACTGGTTTAGGCATAATTTTAATTAATAAAGGGTTATGGTCAGAGTGAAGTCCTGGAAGGTGGATAACACTAGCATTTGGGAAAAAGCTAATCCATTCTTCATTTGCTAAGACTTTGTCCAGTCTTTCCCTAATTCTAGTACTATTACATTTGTTATTATTTGACCACGTAAATTTGCCACCTTTGAAACCTAAATCCATAAGGTTGCAGTAATTTATTTTGTTCCATAACTTAAGAGCCCTTCTTCTATTTATGGGATTTCCACCTAATTTATCATCTGCTACTAATACATCATTTAAGTCTTCTCCTAGCAGCCATGCACCTTTGTGGTTATCAAATATACTAGTAATGTTATCCCACATAGCATTTCTTTTTGATATCTTAGTACTTGCATAAATAGTAGTAAAGAGCCAAGTTTTTTGAGAACGGATTACCTCAATAAGGGCGTGGATTTCATTGTTACGCCTCACAAAGTTGCTCACATTCACTACACTTGTGTCCCACATAAATGCCATACCTCCTGATTATCCCTCAGATGGGACCTCTATCATATTTGAGAATCCGAACTCATTCATCAAGCTGCCATGGCTGGTCATTCTGGTTTCTAAGAGGGAGACCATGCATGGGTGGTGGGTAGCTATAAGGTCAGGGATGTTTCTTTTAAAATCAGCATTATTACCACCTCTAATGTTCCATATAACTATGTTTTTAGCACGATTCATCTGAGGGAGGTTTGGGTGGGCAGGTCCGTTGGCTTGGGTTGCTTGAGGGAATATGGGGTTCCTTCTTAATGAGGGGACTAGAATCATGGCTAGTTTCCCCACCGTCGGGTCCTGGGGAGGCCTCATATCCACCGTGCATTTGAACAGTGAAAGTGGACAGGCTAGAATAAGCCTCTTCTCCCGCCCCTCCTCGAATAGATAGACTTTACTTCGTCTAGGTTTGAAACCTCTACTGTGTGCTCCCCTACAAGGTCTATCTCCCCCTCCATTTCCTCCCCCCTAGGTTTCCTAGATTTTGAGCTACTGGTGGTTCCTGAAAATGTTAATCTATTGGAACTTGATTCATTGGTTCTTCCTGTTGCATGTGGTTCTGAGATAGTTCCCAGTTCACCAGGATTGGGTTTAGAGCCATCATCTCCTAGGGCGGGAAGAAGGGTAATTCCAGGCCCATGTTCTGTAGGAGGTATGGGTTCTGAGCAAAATGAGGAGGAAGATTCCACTGGGACCTCATTGCTTGAATAACATTGTTGTTCATTCCTGGTGCTAGTGGTTGCATGATGTTGTTTACCCATATGTGGTTTAGGTAGTTGCTCATTGAGAGATGAAGGCCCTCCGATATCACTTGGGCTAGGAACTGAGGATTGTTTATGAGAATGATACTTTCCTGGCCATAGATCATCACTTGGAGTGAGATCCCCCTCCCCATGAGCCCTAGTTCTATCCAGCTTGTTGGGTGATGATTTTGCGGGAGTGGAGGTTGAGCATACACCACTGGTATTGGTAACATTTGTTGGGGTAGAGGTGGTAGATTTTCCATGGGTAAGGCTTGAAGGTTCCTCAGTATACGAATTAGTCGATATCTTCTCCGGTTGCTTGGAGGAATTCTTGGCATTTTCTGTTGAGGGAGCTAAGTTATATTGCAAAGGAGGGGTAGGGATGGAGGGTATAATTAGGTCTATTTGCATGCATTCTGGCTGGGTTAGCGTGCTAGAAGATATAGAAGATTTTGCATGGAGTTTGTTTGGCACGTGGAGACTAGGTTTTGCCATTTGGATGGGAGAACTATCAATTTTGGGCGGGTGGCTATCCGTGTGCATTAGTGTTTGGTATGATGGATTACTAGGGTCGTTTGAGGGTGGAGGGTTATTTAGGTGATGATTAGTAAAAGCATGAGTGTCATTTGATTGGGTAGGGGTGTTACTATGAGGGTGATTAACTATAATAGCTTTTTTGTCCTGTAGTGATATTCTATGAATTTTGGCCGTATATGGGGTCTGGACCGGGTTCATAGAATTATCAGTTTGATGGTTTGTAAAATCTGAGAAGGTGGTATTGTCAGAGACACTGTGGTGGTTTTTTTGCTTTAGGTTATTGTCCTTTTCCGAGTAGTTTGTGAGTAATTGAGGGGATTGGGTATAGGAGTCTTTGTTATTAATGGTAGCAGTAAGCTCATAATCATTGATATTAACTTTTGGAATATATTTTGCAGCTTTTGGAGATGAAAACTTACCTGGATAATGATTTGAAATTTTGTTAATATTACCTGACGTTTGGACTTTGGTTTTTGATACCTCTTTTCCTTTAAATTGCTGTGCATTCCTGCGTCGAGGGAATTGAATTGTTTGCCAGTCTTCCTCATCTGTGGATGTTGATGTAGGTCCGGTATTCACTGGATTTATTTGGCTTGCAGCCATTTTTCTTATAATTTTTTTCTCACAGACCAAGTCCGTGTGGCCTAAAAATCCACAAGTTTTACAGAGATAGTTGTTTGCTTCGTATTGTATCTCCTGCTTGTGATTTCCAATGAGAATATGTTGTCTGACTGGTTCGTATAATCTCACATAGCGACCTCTCATGGAGGAGGAAGTGCAAGCATCAACCCTAAGAAGTTTTCCGATTGATTTCCCCACCCTTTGGAGTATTTGACCATCGTAAAACTCTGTAGGTAGTTGGGGTAACCTCACCCAGACTGCTGTATGACTTTGTTTTGTAGTTTTTGCAACAAAATTTGGTATCCATTTTTGTGTTGATAGAAAGAAACCAAAAACGAACCATGGTCCGTCTTGGAGAATGTGGGTCATACTTTCTTCATGTTGAAGTTTAACTATATAGTAATCATTTCCCAGGTCTATGAGGGGAAAATTTTCTTTAAGCTTCCATAGCACCTGGATTTTTTGTTTTAACAGTTGGTGGAGAATTCTTTTGCCAAGGAGTTTTATGATGAGGGAGTGTCTCCAAGGTTGGTATATTCTTTTTTTGTCCTCATTTGATATGATTATCGAAAGAGGTTGTTTATCCGCTGACTCTTCAGTAGCCGATACTGAGTTATCCTCAATAATTTCCATTGAAAAAGAGATAGAGTCGGAGTGGTATAGGGATGGAGATGAAAATAATTCATTCTCCAATAATATTGCTTTGAAATTTAATTGTGGGTAGTCTATTGGGTTTTCAATATTTTTTTGGTCCATTGGTATTTTTTGAGCCAGTTGATCCGGAGGTTTTGGAGGGATATTGGGGTTGTCAACAACATTGTAATCAGTGGTCATTTGGAATTTTCTGATGAAGCAAGAAGAAGGAGTGGAAAAGAAGTTTTAGAGAGAAGATGGAGCTTCTTCTCTCTAGAGATAAACTTTTTGGTGGCTACGCCAAACAACTTCAATTATTATACGTTACTGCAATTTTCGCTACCAACCAAAAACACCAAAAATTCCACCACGTAATTTCCGCCAACATCTCCTTCTCGAAAAAGACCCTTTTTTAGAAGCAGCCGAGAAGAAAATACGAATTAGTAGTAAGAGTTTGATTCTAGTCGTACTGATTCTCAAAAATTTCATTATATCTGCCCCGTCCGAGAGAGAGCCAAATACAGTCAACCCTCTCTATAATAGTCTTGTTTGTTCTGATATTTTTTCACTTTTATAATAAATAATTATTATACACTTATAACAACTTTTGACGTTTAAATATTTTTTGGCTGTTATAGATAAAGTTATCCAAAAATCAATTATTTCTCCTTTTTTCATGTTGCATATAAAAGATAAGAAAATTATTCAAATTTAAAATCAAAAGATATGCATATTTCACTAGTTAAATATTGAAGAAAACTAATACATTATTAATAAATTTACAACTAAAAGTCAAAGATTTAAACTCTAAGGCGGACATTTTAAAGTTAAATAATAAATAAAAAAATTCAAGATTGATGGAAGAACTTTCTAATTGTAGCTTGTTTCGTATATTTCATTCTCTTACTAGCGATATAACGCTTTTCGTGTCCAAATTTTCAGCAAAAAGGTATCCAATATTTTTCCTTGAAGTCAAAGTAAGAGCTCAACAGTTAAATTTTCTATCTAAATATTTGTTAGAATTTGCCCCATGGAAAAGATACCATGGTGCAAATCTTCAAATCTTATATCTTATGCAAGATAGAAACTTTTATTTAATGAAAAATATTGTGTGCATATTTTTAGAACTATTATTAGTAATCTTAAAGATTCTATATGACTGTTATAGAAAGGTAATTTTACAAAGAGCGTTCTGCTATAAATATGGATGTTGCTGTTATAGGTAAAAAGCTGTTATAGAGAAGTAAAATATAACTTAAAAAATTGATTCTGAAGAAAACTCGATTTTTATAGTGAATGACGGTTATATAGGGATGCTGTTATAGAAAGGTCTAGTAGCTCTGCCAAATAGTAATTCTAATATATAGTGAGAGAAAATTTGTCCCTAACTCGCTATGTTTGGCACAGTCCTATGCATCATAAATATAATTATATCCAATTAATATCTGATATTTTCAGGAGTTTAAGTTTCACACACTCCAGATATAAAAGATAATTACCTACAATCTTTATAATACTGTAATTAAATGTCAATCTCTATACTACAGTCATACACAAATTCCTTGGTCTCTATAGTTATTAATTTATGGAATATGAGACATGAATATGTTATTACAAATTCCTTGGTCTCTAATTATTTATGGAATATGAGACAACGATATGTGGTTATCATTTAAAAAAAATACATTACACCTCGTTTATGGATTGACTAACGTTACCTTTATGTTGCTCATGCTCACTTCTAACATAGTCAACAAAATCTTGCAAGTTCCTCTCCGAGGAGCCACCGTCTGCCACTGCTTCCTCCGCCGCCTTCTTCCATTTCAACGCATTCTCTTTCATCTCCGCCGCCTGTGGCCCACTAATAACCTCCCTCACGCACTTCTCCACTTCTTCCCTCGGAATAATCCTATTTTCAGCCTCGCCTCTACTTAGTCGAAGTCCAACTTTAAATACATCGACTAAATATTTAGCATCAGTAACTTGGTCACCCCAGTGAGGAAAAGCCAAAACCGGCATACCACTAGAAAGCGCTTCCATTGTCGAATTCCATCCACAATGTGTCACGAAACAGGCCACTGATGGGTGTGCCAACACTTGTTCTTGTGGACACCATTGTACTATTTTTCCCCTATCTCCAACTTTCTCTAGAAATCCATTAGGTAACACAAATGGCTCAAAATTTGGGACTTTAGTTGGTGGCTTAATTACCCACAAAAAATTAACCCCTGAATTTAACAATCCATATGCTATTTCCTCCCCTTGTTCCCTTTTGAATGTGACAATACTACCAAACGAAATGTAAACCACAGACGATGGCAATTTTGTATCTAACCAATCTATACAATTTTCGTCAACCTTCATAAAATCACCTCGGACATCATCATTTGTAGAAGTTACTAATTTAGGGTATTTGAATAGTGGACCCACAGTTTTGATAGGAATTTTTTTGGAAATCAGGTAATTAACTACGTCATGTTCAAGTTCTTGGAAAGTTTCCATAAGTATAAAGGACAATTTGGATAAATTCTTGTATTGACCTAAAATGGCTCTTCTTAAAAAACAATATGGTGTACTAGGATGCAAGAAACTAGGAATTTCATCGTACTTTAATAAAGGCATATAAGGTAGTCGAACATCAATGTCAAGTTGAGATTCAGTAGGAAATGGAACTAAACCATGGTAATAATGGTAATAAGCTGAAAAGCTAGCTGCAGACTGTATCCAAAGCATAGCACTAGGAATTCCAAGACTTTCAGCAACATCACAAACCCAAGGAATAAAAGGATTATTAATCAAACAAGAAATAGGGCAATCTTGTTCTTCGTATTTCTTGATCATTTTTGGGAGAATTTCCTTGCCAGTTAGCTCAAGATGTTGTAAGTAGGAATCTAAGCCGTTTCCATTCGGCTTAGAATGATCCCAATCATCGTCGAAAAATTGGAATCTCATCATACCATTACCATAAGGAATTGGTTCACTAGTTGTGATTTTGGGGTTGGATTTTTTCATTTCTGAACCACAACTTTCAGGTGCTGAGAAAGTAACAAGAAGGCCTTTTGAAGCTAGGCGTTTGCCAAGTCTAAGTAGAGGATTAACATGTCCTTGGCCAGGAAATGAGACCAGAAATACATGAACTAGTGCACCTTCACCGACTGTAGATCCCATTCTTAGCACTTTTTCCAGAGGAAGAAAGCAGTATAGGGAAGAGAAAATATAGGTAAAAATGATGTGTTACACTAAGAGTGGAGAAATTGGGATCTATTTAATCTCAGGGGCGGAGCCTTTCGGCTACGAGTTCAACTGAACTCGTAATATTTGACACGGAGTATGGATTTATATGTAAAAACCTGCTAAAATTTAATTAAATAAGTGAACCCATAATTTTAACATTACAATAACTTCAACACTTAAAATTTTTATAGTAAAACTCATTTAAATTTGAATTCCGGATCCATCACTTGAATTAACCTTTGTGTGCAACTTTAGTAGACAATTTCTAATGAATTAATTTCCTGAAGTGTGAAGTGGACCAATGAGTTGAATGGTCACTATGTTCCCTCTTTTCTCTACGTGCGACAAAAAATAAATAAACTAAAAATCGGTTGGCTACCAAGAAACGGGAGAATATACGAATTGAAATGCACTTAAATATTATTTTTCGTATTCTGATCTATTTGTTGGTATGCTTTTGGCGTGCTTTATAATTAGAAAATTTCCTGTCATTCTCTTATACTATACTCTTTCGATACATTCTAGAAGAATTTGGACGATCATTAGAAGTAAAACAGACTGAGTTGCCGAGGTTCTCAAACTACTTAAGACAAACTCATTTACTTAGAGAAAAGTCAGGAGCAATTAAGAGGGAATATATAGATTAGATATTGAAGAAATTATATGTAAAAATAATTTAACTTAAACTTTTTTATCTTACCTTGAATGATATGGCTTTATGGTCACAAGAAATATTTTGACCACAAGTTTTAAAATGATATCTTTCTTTCTATGGGAAAGAGAGAATAGCACCTTTTGTTAAACATAATTAAAAAATTTATCCAAATTTGCTATAAAATTTAAATATAGCTAGGAATGAAAATTTTCTAAAAGTAAAACTACAGATGGTAAATACAATATATATGTTTGATGTGTCGCGTAATTTTTCCTATATTTATCACAATTCACAAGTCACATGTTGTTGAGCTTTTTAAGCTAAAATAAGCTTAAAAGAGGGTGAATGAGAAATGGAGGAAAAAATGAAATGTTTAAGTTTCCCTCTTGTCCCATATTAAAAGAGGAAAAGGTTTTTGATGGGTATATATACAATTGCTCTTCTTTTAGCTCTTAAAGAGTTAAGAAGAAGGCAAGCCTCGCGCCGTCGTCGTCGCTCATCGCTCGACTCGGCTCGGCTTCGGCTTCGGATGATAATCCAAATTATCCTTGACTCTGCCCATCCGTTTTTTGTAACGGAAAACGTTTCATCTGCCCGCTTTAATTTGCGTAAATGGCCATTTACGTTATGGCCGTTTTACGTAACTGACTTCTCTTCGTTTGAACTCAACAGGTTGGGGTTATAAATAAGTTGTCCATTCCCTCAGATTTTTCATACGAATTTCTAACTTCTCCTCCTTTCTTCTGCATTACTTTAACTACTAAGAAAGCAACAGTAAGTGTGATTTGGTACTGATCTTTGTGTTCGCTGAAACACTGGGGTTTGAAGTACCGCTACACCAGTGTGTAATTCGTTCTATCCTGGGAGGAAATAATTCACAACCTTGGGTACTAGGAGGGGATTAAGTTCCTTAAAAAAATACTGTAAATTCAGTGGGCCCGGATTAAATTATGTTTTTATTTTCATTTCTGTTTATACGTTATCTTATATTCTCCAAAATTATTTTATAAATACAGTTAACTAACAAGCTTAAGGAACTTAATTTATTTTCTGTATTTGTGTTATATTCACTATTCTGGAGACTAATACCTTTGTGGTTTTCTACTCCGTTGGAGATTAAAATCTACGTGATCTTACGTTTGTTTGTGCCATTCTTTTATAGAAATGATGAATGACAACGGGAACCAGACTGTTCCTATGGTGACTGCCAATGCATTGACAAGCCGAACAACACCGGCATTGGCACTGGCAGAAAAATATGGAACGTTTTTCGGGATTGATTTCAAGCGGTGGCAGCAGAAGATGTTCTTCTACTTGACGAATTTAAGTCTACAGAAGTTCATTAAGGAAGATGTTCCTGTTCTGCCCGATGGAACTCCACAGAATGAACGCTTTCTCGTGATTGAGGCGTGGAAGCATTCTGATTTTTTGTGCAATAATTACATTCTTAGCGGACTGGAGGACGATCTGTATAACGTCTACAGTAATGTGGAGACGTCAAAAGAACTGTGGATTACGCTTGAAAGGAAATACAAAACTAAAGATGCCGGGTTGAAGAAATTCGTTGCCGCTAAATTTTTGGGATACAAAATGGTAGATAGCAAGTCTGTTATTACCCAAGTCCAGGAACTGCAAGTGATTATTCACGATCTCCTTGCTGAAGGTATAAGTCGAATTAATACTGATGTTGAAAGTAGTAATTTTAGTATTTTTACTAACAGAATTTTCATTGAAGGTCTTGTCATCAATGAAGCATTCCAAGTTGCAACGATGATTGAGAAGTTGTCTCTTTTGTGGAAGTACTTCAAAAACTACTTGAAACACAAACGCAAGGAGATGTCGCTTGAAGATCTCATTGTTCGGTCGAGAATCAAAGAGGACAACGAAGTTGCTGAAAAGAGAGGCCGTGGAAACTCAACAATAATGGGAGCAAACATTGTTGAGGATACTCCTTCAAAATAATAGAAAGAGGAAGAAGGCTTCTGGACCGAAAAGCAACCCAAGCAAGAAGCAGTTCCACGAAAATTGCTACAACTGTGGGAAAGATGGACACAAATCTACAGATTGTCGTGCTCCGAAGAAAGACAAGAAGAAGGGTCAAGCAAGCATGGTTGAAAAGCACGAAGATGTTGATGACTTATGTGCTTTGTTTTCTGAATGCAACCTGGTGGGAAATCCCAAGGAGTGGTGGATTGATTCTGGAGCCACTCGCCATGTTTGTGCCGTTAGAGAAGCATTTGCTACATATGCTCCCGTTGGACCCGAAGAGATACTTTCTATGGATAATTCTGCAATGGCCAAAATTGAACGTTTCTGAAGATGACTTCTGGCAAGGTGGTGACTCTGAACAACGTCCTTCATGTTCCCGAGATTAGGAAGAACTTAGTCTCTGCTGAACTTCTCGTTAAGAATGGGTTTAAATGTGTTATTGTACCTAATAAGGTTGTAATAAGTAAGAATGAAATGTTTGTAGGAAAATGATTACCTCACTGAGGGCCTTTTCAAGCTGAATGTAATGGTCGTTGAGAATAATAAAATTTCAGCTTCTTCTTACTTGCTTGAGTCAAATGATTATGGCATATACGTTTAGGTCATGTCAATTATAAAACCTTGCGGAAAATGATTAACTTGAAAGTATTTCCTAAGTTTGAATGAGACAAATCAAAATGTCAAATATGTGTGGAATCTAAGTATGTTAAACATCCTTATATGTCAGTTGAAAGGAATTCAAATCCTTTAGACTTAACTCACACAGATATTTGCGACATGAAGTCAATACCATCTCGCGGTGGAAAGAAGTATTCATAACTTTTATTGACGACAATACTCGATATTTCTATGTTTACTTACTTAATAGTAAAGATGAAGCAATAGACGCATTCAGGCAATACAAAAATAAAGTTAAAACGCAACTTAGCAAGAAAATCAAAATGATAAGAAGTGATAGGGGTGGTGAATATGAATCTCCTTTTGAAGAAATATGTTTAGAATATGGAATTATTCATCAAACAACAACCCTTTACACGCCCCAATCCAATGGGATTGCGGAAAGAAAGAATCGTTCATTAAAGGAGATGATGAATGCATTGTTGATAAGTTCTGGTTTGCCACAAAACTTGTGGGGGGGAAGCCGTTCTTACTACTAACCGGATACTAAAGAGTACCCCATAGCAAAACACAATCTATTCCATATGAAAAATGGAAAGAAAGGAAGCTAACTTGAATTATTTTAAAGTGTAGGGGTGTTTGGCAAACGTGCAAGTTCCTAAACCCAAAAGGGTAAAAATAGAACCGAAAATAGTTGATTGTGTTTTCATAGGATATGCGACCAATAGTAAAGCATATCGATTTTTGGTTGATAAATCAGAAAATCCCGACATTCATAATAATACGGTTATAGAATCAGATAATGCTGAGTTATTTGAAAATAAATATCCGTATAAAAAGAAATGTGAGTCGATTGGTGAATGATCTAAACGACCTCGGGAAGAAACGAAAGAAAGTACATTTAATCAGGAGGAACCAAGACGTAGTAAACGTCAAAGAATGTCTACTTCATTTGGACCAGATTTTGTGACTTTCTTATTGAAAAATGAGCCTCGAACATTTAAAAAAGCTATGTCTTCTTCGGAATCATTATTTTGGAAAGAGGCAGTCAATAGTGAAATAGAATCCATATTGAACAACCATACATGGGAATTGGTTGATCTTCCTCCTGGAAATAAACCTTTAGGTTCTAAATTTTTTTAAAGAGGAAAATGAAAGATGATGGCACTATTGATAAATATAAGGCAAGACTTGTAGTCAAAGGGTATAGACAACGAGAAGGTCTTGACTATTTTGATACATACTCTCCAGTTACAAGAATTACATCCATACAAATGTTAGTAGCAGTAGCTGCCTTTTATAGTCTTGAAATTCATCAAATGGATTTTAAGACGACCTTCTTGAATGGAGATTTGGAGGAAGAAATCTACATGGAACAACCTGAAGGGTTTGTGGTTCCAGGTAAAGAAAAGAAGGTATGTAGACTTATTAAGTCCCTTTACGGACTAAAACAAACACCCAAATAATGGCATGCGAAATTTGACCAAAGAATGTTGTCAAATGGTTTTAAGGTGAATAAATGTGATAAATATGTGTGTACATTAAAAATGTTCCAAATCACAGTCATTGTTTGCTTATATGTGGATGATATGCTGATAATGAGTAATGACATTGCCAACATAAATGCGACTAAGTGCATGCTAACTAGCAAGTTTGATATGAAGGACTTGGGAGTTGCTGATTTAATTCTGGGGATTAAAATCCATAAGACTCCTCAAGGTCTAGCATTGTCACAATCTCATTATATTAAGACAGTACTT